TTTTTTGTGCCACCAGATCTGTGTCCCTGCATCTGTAGCCAGATTCTCTGCCGACTCCCACACCCCACCTGTGCCCTGCTTCCACCCCCTCTCGCTCACCCAGGGAATCCACTTCTGACATGACCTCTTTCCATGAGCCGCTAGCTTCCCATTTGCCTGGAATCTTCCACCACCCCCTGTTACGTGCTGTAACAGGCCCGCCACTAGAAAAGCCCTTTGAGCCCCCGTTCCCCTCCAGGTGCTGCTCTCTCACTCTCTCTGCTCTCTCCAGCCTGCCATAAAAATGACTCTTTCCAAGTTTGAGGAACCACCTTCTTGCCAAATTGCATGTTCCCTTTTGGTTTATCCTGCTGGGGCCTCTCACGTGCATTTGATTCAGGGACCTTGCCTGCATTTGCTTTAAATTGGCCGTCACCACTCATCCCCTTCATCCCTGTGGCTGCCTGTCCCGGTGTGTCCCACTATAGCCTTACCGCCACCTGGAATGCTTGTATTTACTTGGCTTTGCATCTGTTTGTCAGATATCTCATCCAATAAAATAAACCCCGTAAGGGGAGGGTCTTTGCTTTGTTGGTTATCTGGGCTCTGCCCAAAATTTGAATATGCCTAATGCTTAGTAGACACTCCATAAATATGTTGTAAATAAATGAATGTTCCTGAAACCATCCTCCATTTCCTCTTAAGCCCACTACCTATTCATCATAGACAACAATCTCAATTGTAAAGTTTCCCTTCTGATTCATGACTGAATTGTGTTTTATGTCTTATCCCTGATTGGAGGAGTTCATGTATTCTAAAAATTCCAGGGACTGTTTCCACCTTGGTTCATGAGGCTGGCTTGTCTTCCTCCTTCTGTGATGAACTTGCACGTCCTCTGTCTCTGTGTGCACACGTCTGCACATGTGCTTCAGGTCCCAAAGGAGTAACTGTTCCAAGAGCTTGAGGCCTTAAAAAAAAAAAAAGTTCTCCATTTCTTTAAAAATACATAATTGCTGCCTCTCCAGAGATATTTTTACAGTGTGTCCCTAGAGGAGGAATTCCAGCTGATGGCCCAGTGCAGGGCAGAGGCCCATAGACAGACAGTCTGGCTCCAATTTATGCTCTGTGCTAACATGGCTAATAGGCGTTCGTATTTTGATTTAGAGAAGTGCTGTACTTGATCCTGACTTGGTTGTATGCTGGTAACATCTGGCTAAGCACCACAGATTTAAAGGCCAAGAGCTATTTATTTTCTTCATCATCTTCTTCTCTCTCTCTTGCTCTCTTTCTGTATTCAGTAAAATGTCTTGGGAATGCTTTCAGTGTTTTGATAAAGCAATACACAGAATAAATTGGCAGAAGTTTAGTTTTCCCCATATTAAACTCTGTTATAGACACTTTGAACCTTTTGGAACTATTATATATATGTAATATGTATCAGAGCTTCCACAAAACCCTGTTAGTGCCTTTATTATCCCACTTTTTTCCTCTATCCAAGTTTTTGCTATCACTTCATTTTAGACCCTAAACTCAACACTCACTACGGTTAAATGGAAAAAAAAAACAAAAACCAGCAACTCTTGATTCATAAGGTGCCTATAATTCTATGAACATCTAATGAAAATGAGCAAACATCTTTGTATAAAACTTGGACTCGGTCCAGCAGTATGTCTCACTCTCAGATGCCTGATAAAACAGTGGGATCGCAGGCGCTGGCAGCTCCGTCACGGTAGTCTGGCAAGGCAGAAGGTGCCCAGCACTGAGACATTGCTAAGGCTACACACACCAAATGTCCAGTCATCTTTCTTGGATTCTTAGATCTGTGGGTCCTTTAGCTGGAAAAATGTGGTGCTGTAATCTGCTTACTTAGAATTAGCTGTCCCAGTGACTTAGTAAGCTGGAAAAAAACAAAAAGTAAAATTAGATATTTGAAAGCAAGCCCTCACCAGACATTCTCTTAGAAACAAGATCACCACCTCTTACAGGCATGGTTTTCCTTGGCTTATGGCATCACTCCCTAGCCCATGTGTGCCAAGCCTTTGGCACGGCTGACGAAACATCTCCCTTTCAACAAGCCTTGCTCTCTGGAAACATTAGTAAAATGCAGCTAGTTCACACTCCAGCAAACCACAAACCTAAACTTTCCCAGTTAACAAATGATTATTTTGCCAAAATGCTTACTAAGTCCTGGCCCTAGCCGAGTGTGTGATGTGGAATCGCCGCAGTTTGAAAAACAAACGAGCAGCCCTCCCAGTGCCATGGGGTTGCATTCCAGCGGAGTGCTCAAATACAGTTTTCATCGTGCCATACGCTATGCTTGCTTGCTAGAGGAGTCTTGCATTAAAAAAAAAAAAAATTATATTTGCTTGCATGCTTATCAGATGTACAGAATGCATTCTTCATGGGTTTTCCTATCACTGTTTGGGCCGCATAGAGAGTTACGTACCTCAGAAGCATGGAATCAATCAAAGTCACAATCAAAGAGGAACAGTATGGTTTCTCCCATCCCCGTAAATCTGATCTGTAAATGCAAAGAATGTGAGGAATGAGCATAAGAAATTCAATAATTTTATTTAAAACTTAAAAAGAAAAAAATGGCAAATCATAGGATAAGCGTCTAACCAACCTGGTCTCCAGAAGGAAAACCTTTTAAATAAGATATTTCTGATCCCCCATCTGAAATACATATCTTTAAGGCAGTCATCATCACAAACATAACAGAGCAGTGTGGAGCTCGGTTTTATTGTCTTGCATCAGTGAACATTCCTCAAAAGCATAGGGCGTCACTAATGGAATTATGTGTTTTCATGCTGTAATTACATTTGATTTTTCCTGACATATCTGTAGACTTTTTGTTCATGGTTCCATGACTAGGCAGAATACTTACAAGGTTTCTATGTTCTCTGCCTATCCAATGCCTCCTCCAACCCTGAAAAAAAAGAGAGAGACTAGCAGTAGGAATTTGCTAAGAGAAAAAAAGGCAAAATGTGTATTTTTTAAAAAAATGTATTCAACTGTCAGAGATTTTCTTTCAACAACAACAACAAAAACATGAACAACAAAAAAAGAATTTTATATGAAGGAAACAGAACAAGGATCCTTCTGAGTTCTAAAACCCCTTAAAACACAAAACAGGCACTTAATATTTTTGTTCTTGTTTTTGAATGAATATTTGTTGGGTAAAACAGAATTTATTTGATATTTGGGTAAGTTGCCCCAAATGGTCCTGTCACTGGAAGGAAGAAGACAGATGAATTGTGGCAATAGAGTCAAGCTGACTGGGAGAACACAATGGCAGGATGCCATCAAGTATGTGACAGTCAACATCCAGTTTTGAGAAATGAGAGTATCTAGCTCTGAAGTCCATAGAAATCTCGAATGAGAAGATGTAAACAATTAGAAAATTATGTTGAAATCCAACATGTTGTTATTATCTATGTCCATTTCTCCCACATCAAGTTTGTGCTGCACACTTCAACGACCTATTGGTGTTCAGTTTCTATTTCTCAGCATGCAATTCCTAGTCTCCGGGTTTTAATGGCTACAGAACCCAGAGCTGACACTTCAGACATGTTAACACTCTAGGGCTTTCGCCTTAAAGCACTGTGGAAGGAGATGTAGGAGTAAGTCTGACTGTTGTGGAGGTATGGCGTGAGGAAGGGATGCCACTTGTGAGTGGAATCAACTCAAGGGTATAGATGAATACTGCTTGGCGTGACCTGGGTTGCTTGTTCTTATCATAAATTATGTAAAGTTAGCATTACATTTCCCCGGGTTTAAATACATTTCTTGAAATGCCATTTATCAGAACACTGAAAATGCAATTTCAGTTCTCTCTTCTCAAATCCCTACAGTCTGGCTCCTGGCCCAGCCACTCAACCCAAATCACCCTCTGAGGTCTTCCAAAATAACTTCTCAGCCAACACCAATAGTATCCTTCTAGATTTGTCAGCTTTATTCAAAACCATATTCTTCTCCCTGCTAACACCCATCTGGTCTCAAATTCTAAGACTCTGTCCCTTCCAGGTTTCCTATTTTCCATATCTCCAGTGTCACACCTATTAGCAGTTCTCCTTCAGAGATCATTCCAACTTTGATAATTTTAAACACAATGTTTGTGCATGAATTACTTCCCTGTCCCTATCCCTAAACTTTCCTTACTTTTTAATCTTAACACCACTTGCTGCCAGGCCTTCAGCTGTAGTTAATCATGGTCAAGTAACAACTCTGGTCTTGATTTTCAACTCCTTGCTGCTGTTTAATATCTTGGTTTCTGTAAACAAAAATTGAGTCATTTTGACTGCTTATTAACCCCTTCACTTTTGTTAAACTACCCACAGCATATATTTTCTACCTAGATTACATTTATGGAAGATTACATTTACATAATTCTCTTTCAGTTATCCTCGACCCTCTCCTCTTCCACCCTAGTCAAATGCAGGTCAGACCAAACTCGCCACATATTCGAATAGAGATTCCTATTACCCTGTTGATCAAAATGCAATTAATAAGTAAGTGGCGGTTGCACCATCTTGTACCAGCTGTTCTTATTCCACCTCAAGATCACTTCTCTTTTGAAGTCCTACACACATCCAGTTGACATACTTTCATCTTTTACTGCTGATTATTTGTTGCCAATCTTAAAGGGATATTCTTTCCTCTTTTACCAAGTTTGTCCTATTCTCTGGCACCTCATCTGAATACCTTTCTCCAAAAGACTTTCTGTGGATTATGTGTAAACTGGGTCATATAAACCAGCTGGCTTTTCTCTTCCTCCTCTCATGAACATGTGGCTTTATGTGACAGTGTTTGCTGAGTCATCTTTGTGTATGTCTAAATTCCCAGATGTGTCTGTGCATTTGTTATGTCCTGAACCTCTGGAAAGTCACCTCTGTAAATGGGAAATATTTTGGATCTTCGGTAAAAATCCATGCAGTCTCTCCCTCCCACAGCAATATGCGCTTAAAATGTTCTGGTGGTTACTGAAATTTCGCCTCATTATGTGTGCATTTTCTTTTCAGGATCCCCCCATGGCTGTAACCCTTGGACTCCGTATGGAGGAAATGATTTTTAACCTTGCTGATACGCATTTGTTTTTTAATGATTTAGAGGTAAGAATTTTAAAAGGTAGGAATAGTTGTATCCAACACTAAGCCTCTTAGATGGTTTCTATATCTGCAGATAGCCTCAAGAAAATGGAAAGATAGAAATTTAATTCAAGAAAACCATAAAGTTCTCATCAAGAGGAAAAATTGTATATACAAATATAAATTGTGTTCACGAATAAATACGTATGTACCGGCACATACGTAGTGTAAAAATGTCCCAGAAGAGATGGTCGACCTTGCTGCCCCCTACTCTGTTCCTGGTTCTTTTAGTCTTTTCGTGGCAGCCACAACCCATTTGGCACCTTTGGAGTCAACATGAGCTCTTCCAGATGACTAACCAGGATACTATTTATGTTAATCACAAGACAGTCTTCACAGATACCACCCATGGTAATAGCATGATCATTAAATTTTGCAGATAATCTGAAACCTAACTTTAGACAACATTATCATTCCTCAGTTCCTTTTGGATAAAAAAAAGTGCTGGAGCTATTTATATAGCACATTTGATGGGTTTGAATATATTTAGTTTCTATTTTTTTAAATTTATTTTTCCATTTCCAACCTCAAATGATAACACAGTGTCTAATAGCAAACAAGAGGAAGAGAGAGTAAAAGCAACAACAACAAAAAATGAAAGAGCCCAAGAAAAAAATAGCCTCAGAGTAGTTGAATCTGTACTACAACAAGGTATATAGTCTGCATGCTAATAACTTTGGTTACTAGGCATTCAGATAACAGAATCTGAAAATAACTAAGTAGTTTGTGCATTTGGCAGAAGTATTTCTCAGACAAGCATCACTATGCTGAAATAGACATTTATCTTTCTTCTTTTTAAATTACATGTTTAAATTTATTTTTTATCTCATGATTTCAGAATGAAATAAAAGGGAAATTGTTACTGAACCACCACCTTCTTCAAGACATTTTATGTTGGACTTTCCATTAAGAAATTAACAATATCTTGAAATAAATATGTTTATCACATTATTTTTACAAGGGAGAAACTACAGGGTCCACGATACGAAATCACATCCAGGCTTACCTGCTATGGAAGTGGTAGAACTGGAATTTTAAACAGATCTGTCTGGCTCCAGAGCACATACTTGTGCCCCCATACCAGGCTGAAATTTTTAAAAGTGTAAAAAAACCAAGTTATTGAGTCACTAAATATGTTTGTTTTTTTTTTTAATTGACAAGGTCTGAAATCCAGTTTTAGTTATGTTTGAGACATGAGAATAAAAATCATCCCATAAATGTATGTACTGAAAACCTGTATAATAGCATTTTGTTGTTTTTTTCTCTACAGGGATTCAGCATTTTTACTGGATAATAAAATCACTGTCTGTTTAAAGAGGCATTGTTTTTCTTTAATGGGCAATATGAAAGATCAATATTCCTTGGCAAATTTTCTAGTTTTAGATAATAAATAATAATTACCTCTATAAAACCTGATTTAAATTAATCTTGCTACTTATTACTGTCTATCTAGTACACAGAATGATTTTATATATACCTGACAATAGGAAATACATTTAATGTTTTTGGAACTTGAATTTTTTATATACAATGATCACTTTTTAGGTTAGTTTTTCTGTTAGAATGACTGAATTTCATTCTAAAGAGAATTCTAAGTGTCTTGGTTCTTTCAAAGCTATAAAAAGAAAAGGATTCTATGTGGTTGTATCCAAGTTTTATAGTGTTTATTTCATTTGGTTAATTAATTTTTTACTAGAAATAAATAGAATAAATGAATTCTTGGCTTTTTAGTGACACATTAGAAGCCAGATGGAATAAATTTACTATTCAACTTTTAACCAAACACTAAAGTGAGAAGGTGAAAGTCACATAAAATGAATTTGTAAATAACTTTAGCAGGTTTGAAATGAATATCGGAATATCAAAAACATGTTACAGTCATCTATGGTACTTGAAGACGTTTTACTTTAGTTCAGATACTATGTTGTATGAATTTTTAAAATATCTGACAGAATCTCTGGTAGAAATAGTGACTTTTCCAGTTATAGCTTTTGAGTTGTTTTAGAATGTGCTAAAATTGGACTCAAACCCTAGAACTTAGCTATTCAACAAAATGGCATGTAATCAATGAATTAATTGAGTCTGTGCCTATATATCGATTGAACTCTGATACATTTACACACATATGCATGCTTGTGCATCCAGATAAAGTACCCAAGGAAATACAAAAGTTTATTACTGACTTAAGTAGATAAGCAAGCACTAAAGCTAATAAAATCAAAATAATAGCTTTCAAGACATTCAGTATAGTTACATGCATTCCCTCTATCCTTCTGCAGCTGACAGTGAATGTCAACTTTACTCTCATACAATTTTTTATTTCAATAAACCTCTTGCAGCCAAAGATTATCTTGGGCTCCATAATTGCAATTAAGTTATTTCCACCTCTGCTGACAAAGAAAAGAATTACTTAAAAAAGTAACTCGGCCATTAGCTTTTTTTTTTTTTTTGTATATTTAACCTCTCAGGGTTCTTTTTTTTAAACCTAAAAATCTAATTTGAGACTCAAATCCTTCAATAGATACTGCAACATGTGTAGTAGCAGCTGCTCCTCACATAATTCCTTAAAAGATACAAATTTAAGTCCTCCTTTTAGACACTTCACTACATCCTGCCCAACTGCAGAGAAGGCAAATGCTCTCACAGCTCCCCCTGAGAAGAGAATGCTGTGTGTTTAAATAAAATGCTATTTCAGTTATAATAATTTCCAGAAAAGAAGGCACCAGGGAGTTTGAGATCGCAAAAGTGAGAAGAGACTGCTGTGAATTATAACTGATAAACATCAGTGACAACTTTGTGGTCACCTTATAAGAAAAAATTTTAAAAATTTAAGATTTAAGATTACCATCAGAAGTATTTCAAATGTTTGAGTTCTGTGAGAGCCGAAACATTAGAGTGTTTTTAGTATTTCACATTTGGTCAAAATGATTCTTGCAAAGTTCCTCGCAGTGAAAGCTAATTGAAGAATAATTATTTAGCTTTTCCTAAAAATGTAAGTAATTGAAGTTCAGGTTTCTTTCACTGGACTGTAATCCTCAGGCAACCGTCCAGAGTCAACAGGCATAGTTAACTATGCCTAAATAAATTTAAAGAGAAGTTAGATTTGGAAAAACCTCAAACATAACTTCAAGTATGGAGTTCACGGTCTAATAAGTTTGATATACTGTTGTCCTCAGGAGTAAAAAATAAATGTTTGGGCAACCTATATACAAATTAATCACATGAATTAATACTAGAAATGTCAGAAGAATTTCTCTAAAAATTAGGATGAGAGACTATTAAATGTAGAAATAACTTCTGATTACCAGAGTGATTTATAAGGATCTCTTCCCCTTTTTGAGGGAATATCATTAGTTTGCTATAAAGGAGAGACATGGAAATTATTTACATAAGGAAGGATTTCAGAACTTCAGTGGACTGGACAACTTCATGTGATACCATTTCCATAGTGATTTATTTCAGTATACATACTCTCCAAGAATGTCACCATCTCTAAATAAGAAATAAACCTGTCCTCTAGAACTACTTTGGTGCCTCCATATTCTGGGAGAAAAATTTTATTTCTAACTTTCATGCTAACTGGTAAAATCTCTCCACCCTTCCCTTGAAGGTACAATCCAACAGCTTCTACCATTGATTGCAATACCTTTACCTTAGATTTTTCTAGAAGCATAATGCCTCTTTTGGTTACAGTTTGAGCTGTACTCCTTTGAAGCAATGCTTGGTCAAAGAGGGGAAGAAACTCCCTGAGTGCCTGTCTGGCCATGGCTTGGGCACCCTCAGCACCTGCTGTGCTCTCTCTCCCTCCCATCCACTCCTGATAGAAACATCTTCCTACAGTCCTCACCATCTAGAACTGTGGTCCCCCAACCCCCAGGCTGCTGCACAGCAGGAGGTGAGCCATAGGCAAATGAGTGAAGCTTCGTCTGTATTTAAGCTGCTCCCCATCACTCACATCACCGCCTGAGTTCCTTCTTCTGTGAAATCAATGGTGGCATTAGATTCTCATAGGAGCTAACCCTACTGCAAACTGCACATGCAAAGGGTCTAGGTGCACATGCTGTAAGAATCTAATGCCTGATGATCAGAGGTGGGGCTGAGGCAGTGATGCTAGTGCTGGGGAGCAGCTGCAAACACAGGTTATCATTAACAGAGAGGTTTGACTGCACAATAAATGTAATATGCTTGAATTCACCCCAAATCAACAACTTCCTCCCAGTCCCTGGAAGCATTGACTTCCATGAAACCAGTTTGTGGTGCCAATAAGATTGGGGACCGCTGATCTAGAATATTTTTATTTTCTATTACTGTAAGTTTGTATTAGAAAATTTAAATGATGGTGGTAATCCTGTCGAGAATTATCATTTGTCTAGAGTTCCAATATTTATTTAAGACAGAATTGTGGCATGATTATTCTATGCCAGATTGTGCCTTCAGTGAGGGCATATCCTGGTGAACAAAATGTCACCCAAAGGGTCACATTAAATTTTCTGGGCCTTACCTATGAATGTAGGTAGAGATTTATCCAGAAATACTAAACCCATAATTTATGTAAATCATATGAACTTTTAAAATTAATTTACCTAGATTTTCAAGTTATATACTAAAATCATACCTATTAAGCTAGTCACTGAGTTTTATGTTTTAAAGTAATCAGCTAGATCATCTTTAAACTGAAACAGTATTAATACACTGAAAAGCTGGAGACTAGCTATTAAATACTTGACTACCAGATACTTCCAAGTCCTATAATGAATATAAATAATAGCTGAAAGCCTTTGTTTAGTATGACATATTTTCAAATTTAATGATTTTTTTTAAAAAATTGATTTTGAATGGTATATAGGCAGAATCTGTCAGTATGATTAAAATAATTTGAGGGGAAAAAATGGGCCCAAGATGCCAAATGGTATTTATTCTGAGATTATTTATTAGAACTATATTCATTTATTATATATTATAATAATTTATCATCTTTTGTATACTTATTCTGAGGACTAGGTATTTTAAATGCTCTTGCCAAATTCTTCCTTCAGATCTTATAACAGTTCACTGGAATTTTGCAGATTATTCAAAAGTAGAGTAAGACTCTTAGGACAGCAAAGAAGAATTGATTCTTATCCAGAAAAGTTACCATTTGTTCTGAGCACACGGTAACTTAAAATCAGGTCAACTGTGTGGGTATACGTACCAAAAGTTCATTTTCCTTGGAATCTTGTAGCACATCTGAGATGGTAAACCTTCATTATTTCCCTTTTACTTATAAGTATTTTTTTTGTTTGAAAATTTTAAAACTTGAAAAAACAAATTATCAGCTTCTGTGGGTATTACCTTTTTTCTGTGTTCAAAGACCAGGACCTTTAAAATAACACCCACCTGGTTCGTTCCCAGTATCTCAGATCCAGTCATGGAAATTTCACAGGACACCATAATCTGAGGGCAAGCCCCTCTGTTGCCACTCAACAAATGATAAGTAATAGTAACCACTTAAGGTCTTCTGACCAAACAAGTTTTGTGTATCTTCAGATTAACTGTGCTTGAGTAAGCACAACAGAAATGCTCGGTAAAGAACCCAAATGATTACAAAGATTCAGAAGAGAATTTCTCGTCAATAATATTAAGATTAAAATCATTTTTTAAATTACTCTAAAGAAACCCTCATGCCATATGTTTTCTGACCCCTTTTTGTGCCACTCTTCTGGATTTAGATCTTATAGAGTAGAAATGGTGCCATTCCCCAGCACAAGAACACAAGCGTGAGACGCTGGGATGGATGGGCACATGCTGCCATCTTCTGGCCATGGTCTGATCAAATGGAAAGATGGGAAAACCCTCAAATGTAGTGACAAGCAGCATTTGAAAAACAAATAACGTTTCCAATGTTTTTAACAGGAGTGTGATCAAGTTCATATAGATGATGTTTCCTCTGATGATAATGGGCAGGACTTAAGGTAAGCCATGCCTTTCAGTCTGCTGTTTCCTACAGAAATTCGGCTGTGGAGTTTTGCACATGTAATTATTTCTTTTATTTCTTTTTAATGTATTTTGGGTGTTGCAGTACCTACAGTTTTGCAACTGATGGCTTCCATGCAGCTGCAAGTAGTGCAAACCTTTGTTTGCCAACAGGTGTAAGAGGAGGAGTGGACTGGATGAGGAAGTTGGCTTTTCGTTACAGAAGAGTAAAAGAATTATATAACACCTACAAGAACAATGTCGGAGGTATGAGTGGCCTTCTTAATCTAATAAAGGAATTATGTTGACCTGCATTGAGCCAGAATTTTAAGTTTCTTATAATTTGTGGGGAAAAGTTTAACTGCAAAACAGAACATGCACCACTGTTCTCATGAATTGGGAATTCTTTGTGAAACCTTGTGCTCAGATGTTTAGTCAAGATTTACAGCAAGCCGTTTAGCTTACCCCCATCAGCTGGTGCTGGGACATTATCAAGGAACATCAACAGAGGAATTGACCAAGCCAGTGGGAAGAAGACCTGTCTAAAGAAGAGAGCCTCAGTCATTGAAGCAGAGTTGTTAGCAAGCATTATCTTTCTGGAATCCTATCAGAAATAAATATAAACATTTATGTCATTTCAAAGACCTTCAACAAGTTTACAGTTTTAAAAAACACATTTCTGACAGTGTATCTTTCCCATCTACAGTGTTAGCTATGATTATCATGGTTTTTTTAAAGTTCAAATACTCTGTAGGTAATATCTGAACATTTTATATTTATTTATATATTTTACAGAGGATGTTATTACCTGTGAGATCAAAACTAGAATCTTCTGTGTGCTTCTAGATATAAGAAATCTTGATGATCTTTATTGTTAGAATCAATTTTAGATCAACAAGATTCCTGAGATTTGCTATGACGTCACATAAGATTAATCTCCCAGGGCTTTTTGTTTGTTTATGTGCTTCTCTGTTTTTAAAAAAAGGAAGGGTGGCCGGGCGCTGTGGCTCACGCCTGTAATCCTAGCTCTTGGGAGGCCGAGGCGGGCGGATTACTCAAGGTCAGGAGTTCGAAACCAGCCTGAGCAAGAGCGAGACCCCGTCTCTACTATAAATAGAAAGAAATTAATTGGCCAACTGATATATATATAAAAAATTAGCCGGGCATGGTGGCACATGCCTGTAGTCCCAGCTACCCGGGAGGCTGAGGCAGAAGGATCACTCGAGCCCAGGAGTTTGAGGTTGCTGTGAGCTAGGCTGACGCCACGGCACTCACTCTAGCCTGGGCAACAAAGCGAGACTCTGTCTCAAAAAAAAAAAAAAAAAAAAGGAAGGGTGATTGAGAACCACACACCAGAATCCAAAACAGAATGATACAGCTAAATATACATGTGCATACTATACATATGTACATTCACATATATGTCATAAAATACATTATAGTAAATAAAATGTTCCTATATAGCATACATATATCACATACTCTCATATACATCATGAGGGTGGGGCTGAGTGTCTGCTCACCTTGCCTCCCCATGTGCCTGGCAGTGAAGCACACAACAGATGCTCAATAGATTCTTAGAAACTATAAGAGGACAAAAACCATAGATAATAATAATGTTAGCACCAAAAGGGAACTTAGATATGGAAGACTTTCACTTCCAAATCAGAAACTGGCCCCTGAAAGCTACTGACTTGGCCAGGGTTCTAGGGGAAAAACACTGGTTTCCTAACGCAGTCTAATCTCTCTACATGATGCTTTTGTAAAATCAACTAAATAGGTTTTCCAGTTAAAATCAATTGTGGGTAATATGCTTAACTTTAAAATAAATATGCTTTCAGGAAATATGAATTAGTTTTTATCATTTAAGTATGCCATTTCCCTCTTGTAGGGTATTATTACGATTTTTCAAAAATGGACACATTGCTAAGAAATAATCTTACATCTTAGAAAGTTTAAACAAGCACAAGTCCATTTTCTATCATACTTGAGCATCTCTATATTGAAATGAGGACAAGTGAGACTTTCTAGAAACTATAAATGTTGATTTTAAAAATCATTTAACTCTATTTGTGCTCCAGTATCCTGAAGTGCAATTTAAACAAGAAACTTTTTAAATAGACTTATACGATCTTGTTTTATCATAAAAGCAAAGGCTGGATCTTTTTAAATAATATATTTTCTATAACATTGTAGTTATCCGTTGTCTATAACTGTATCATACACTTTATGATTTTAAGCACAATTCTTAATTTCTTTTTACAAAACAAAGTATAATAGCATTAGCACTGGTATTAGAGACATTCTAATAGCTACATATGATAATGGCATTGTTACTGTTTCAAAGTGAACATGATTGTGATTATTAAGAAACTAAACATTTTCAGGCAGCCAAAATATTTGAGGCCTGTGTCCCTAGGCTGGTAGGGACTGGACAACTCCTCCAGACCTGATGTATCTCAGTATCTTGGAATGAGACAGGCATAGGAGTTCTCAAAGCTCTCCGGTGATTGGATTCCACTCCACCAGATCCTAGGTCCAGTGAGGGCAGAGACAGGGGCCCACTTTTCACTCTATGTCCCCAATGTTTAGCCCAGTACCTGACACCTAGAAATTCTTCCATAAATATTCGATGAATGGATAGTCAATTCAGAAATGAAGGATCAATATGGGTATAAATATATCTCTCGATTTCTGATATAGACTGAATTGAAAATTATCTATACAGGACAGAAAGGAGTCCAAACTAGATATTTCCAAGAAAATATTCATCACTTGACTCTGCCTTCCTTTTCTGTGTTGCAGGACTCCTTGGCCCTGCCAAAAGGGACGCATGGCTACAGTTAAGGGCAGAGATTGAAGGTCTGACAGATTCCTGGCTAACAAATGCACTTAAGTCTTTATCAATTATTAGTACTAGGTAAGTGGCATTAATGCCATTTCTATGTTTATTTTATTGAAGATTTAGTTCTAATTGCACAACATGGGTGAAAATGTTTTAATTCCTAGATTGTTTTAGAGTTTGAAGCGACCTAACAATTCCTAGTCCAGTGATTTTCAGTTTTCTGTATGTGTGTGTGTCGGGGGAGAGGGGACGGGGGATGAGAGAGGGTTGCTGTTTCTCACAATAACCAGGAGATCCTGTCTCTCCATCTGTCTTTCCTCATAACCGCTGACGATCCCCACAGAGTGGCTACATGACTTCCAATGAAAAAAGAAAGAGCTCGTTGTTGGTGGCAAAGTATAAGGGGTGATGGCAGAAATAAAACAGTACTGTTTCTACAAAGAATGCAGGTTTTAGGTCTTTTAGGCCTTAATAGATAATACACACACAATTGAAATGCATCAGAAGAGCAAGAGGAAGCTCTTGAGAAAACTCTAAAGTTTGTGTTCTTTGACCGAAACAGTGAAATTCTGACTTGTTAGTGGAGAGAATAGAATTAAATTGATTGATAACTAGTTGAACAACCACGTGCCATAAATGCTAATCCATAAAGTAATATAAATCTGGAAAGTGGTAGCTAGTGAGGTGAGGCTGAATCTTTGTACTGTCCTCTTCCATGGTTGTATTTCTGGGTTAGATGAACAAATGAAGATGAAAGCATGCTTAGCAAATGTATAGGTAATACAGCATTCAGAGAAAGAGGTTATTTGGACTGATCGAATCAGGGTACAGAAAAACCTTGGCAGGTTAAAAGAAGAGTCTAATATTAAGAGCATGTAAGTAAATGAGCATGTATCAAATCCTGCACGTGGCTTCTGACCGCGTGGCATGATCACTAGCTGCACTGACAACAGAAAGTCTAAATGGAGAACAGAGGGGGAAGTAGCTTCCCGGGTCTGCCTGGGGAGGCCGTGGCAGAGCACTTCGCTCCGTTCTGGGCACCACATTCCAGCGGGGGCTGTGACAGAGTTGAAGCAGCCTGTTATTCATTTCTAAAAGATGTCTCCAAGATAGTTAAAAAAACAAAGATTATTATATTATCTATAGGTTATATTTATTGCATTGTGTATAATATACAATGGTTACATGACTTCCAATGAAAAATGAAAGAGCATGTTGTTGGTGGCAAAGTATAAGGGGTGCTGGCAGAAATAAAACAGTACTGTTTCTACAAAGAACGCAGGTTTTAGGTCTTTTAGGCCTTAATAGATAATATACACACAATTGATATGCATCAGAAAAGCAAGAGGAAACTCTTGAAAAAACTCTAAACTTTGTGTTCGTTGACTGAAACAGTGAAATTCTGACTTGTTAGTGGAGAGAATAGAATTAAAAGCATCCAGCCATTGTTAATGTAACGAGAATGGTTTGAGCAACATGGGTGTGTAACCTGGCAGCCAAGGTGAATGGACTGAAATGCGTGAACAATGATGACGTCACTGTACCAGTCAGTGGGGCATTAGAGCCATTGAGTGAACTTGTGTACTGTGTGGTTGTCACATTCAAAGTGACTGAGCGAGTAGAGCAACAAATCTGCATCAAATTTTGCATTAAGCTTGAACATTCCTCTGTGGAAACTATTTGGATGATTCAGAAGGCTTTCAGGGATGATGCAATGCGTGCAGCACAAATAAACATGCGGCACAAGTGTTCAAAGGTGGTCTAGAATCTGTTGAAAGTGATCCATGTTCTGGAAGGTCTACACCAAACAGAACACTTCAGAATATTGAATGTGCACGGGTTAAGAGACACTGGGAGAACTGTGTGCCTACTTTGAAGGGGACTGACGTGTCGTTGTCCTATGTACAGTGTTTCCTGTATTTTCTATCTTCTTCAGTAAATGTCTCTTTTTTTTATATTACATGGCTGGATACTTTCCTGACAGACTTCATATACAGACTATTAAACAGATGGCCTTAAAACAACTATGGATTATATGGTTTTAAGAAATTAATAAAGTTATAACAGGAAGGGGAGGTGAAAAATAGATCAGTATGCACTATATAGTTAAATGCTATGGAATTTGCTAAATTATATTTTATATATTATTCAATTATAATTTATATGTTATCATATTGGTAGTTTTCACAAAATGCCCAGGAGGTCAGAAAAATAGATGCTTTGTTGAATTATGTATCAGAACCTTTAGTAAACTTAAGTTACCCTCTGACCTTAATTCTTGTTCTATGAATATAGTCTAAGGACAATCAAAGATGTAGGAAAAAATTTACGTAGCATTATTTATAATATATAGAAATCAAAAGCCATCTAAGCAACTAAATTTAACTTTAAAAATCTGGTGCATCTACATGGTAGAGTAGTCTACACACATTATTGTGTTGGGAGAGGGGAAATAATAGATGTGTAATATAAACTAATAGTCTCATGCTATTAGATAAATAAAATAGAATACAAAACTGCATATGTATAAAAGTATGATCCTAATGGGAAAAAATCTGTATACAAACAGAAACACTGAAAGTAAATGCACAAAATGGAGAGAGCGGCTCTCTCTAGGTAGTTGAAGAATAATGCTTTTCATTTTCTTCTTCATATTTTTCTGTCTTTTACAAATTTTCTATTAAAAATATGCACAGTGTTTGTAATTAAAAAAGAAAGGATGTAAACTGTGAATATTATCACATGGTGTAAGTGGTGAAACTTCATGTCAAAACCGTATCTCTAAACTTAAAAAAACCTGTGCTTTATTTTATTCCACCACGTTTTCATTCTATAACACTTACCTGTATATGACTTTGAATAGCATATTGTTTTAACAGAATGTTATGTAGAACTTAAAGTGTCACAGTACAGTCATGGGTTTGTGTTTTATCCTTAACAATCTGCTGTTGTTTTTTGATCAGTATCTGTCTGCTGATAGGCAATAACTGTTGAATATTGAAAGGGACTGAAAGGGGACATTTATTATGGAATTTAGAGACTACAGTGACAATTTTGAATCTACTAGAAGTTATTTAGTATTAGAAAACAAATATGTACATTTCCTCCCTATTTTAGGAGTAACTGTGTAAATGTCTTGGTAACGACAACCCAACTGATCCCAGCACTCGCGAAGGTTCTGCTCTATAGTTTAGGAGGTGCTTTCCCCATTGAGAATATTTACAGTGCAACCAAAATAGGTAAGGAAATTATTTTAAACTCTGTACGGAATGTGTTCACATCTATGTGACTCTGCATGGTTCCCCTTTTCATCAATGTCACTGTTAGTACCTGAAGCAAATTTGGATAAAGTCGCAGAGTCCTTTGCAACTCATTGTATGTGTATGAATTTTATGAGAACTGTTAGCTAGTGAAATTCTGAACTCAGTATCTGGGTAGTTCTGACTCATTCTGTATATTTCATGGAATATTACAGCACATGTCATCTAAATGATACGGAATATCTCTTAGCCATGGTATTTAATAGTTTAATTAGTATTACATCCTTGCATATGCAGTACTCTAGATCCAAGATAAAAATACTATTTTGGCATTACAGGGAAGTCTCAGATAGATTGAACTAATGTCCTTAATTACAAAAAACAAAGAATTTCATGAATCAGAAAGCATAACTGGAAATATTCATAACACATGATGAGTGACTGGAAATGCACATTTCCAAAAATGCGCAGTGGCAATCAAAGAACTACAACCTTGTTCTTTATCTATCTATGGAGTCATCTTTGACTTCAAGTGGATTTCACAGACTTAGACTTCTAATAAACATTCAAAAACACGACTTCATCAACTTCTGCCATCTTGAAAGAGTTAAAAGAAAACTGCTCATGTCTTCCACTGTCTGTCAAGGAAATGCCTGAGAAAATAAATGGGTTGTGTAATGTGCCCTGAAGGTCAACAGACTTAGGCCCTGGCACATTGACAAGAGAGGTTCAAAATCCCAAAATCCCCCACCAAAAATAACTTGCCCTGGCCCTTGAGGAGGTCTGATATTGGCTCTGGCCAAAGGAGCCCCCTGTTGCAGCTGTTTCAGTACAGTTTAAGAGAGCCATTCCATGAGGTAAATTCCACATTGTCATGAGCACTGTAGTTCAGAGCTTGGATAAGCAATACCATATATTTTTTATATAAATGTATGTATTTATGTTAGTGGAGTTACTATGTAGAAGATAATTTTGCCTTTTGACAAATCAAATAACTTTATACCGGTATAAACATTTATTTTAGTAGGGAAAATATTCTTTTTTATTGGCCAAATTTTTCCTTATATTTTTTAATCTGAAAAAAATTATTTTTATTTTTCCCTTTAAGCTAGTATTTTTTTGGAGTTCTGAACTATCAGATTAAGAAAGAAGGCAGAAGTAACCATGGATATGTGAACATTCTGAAAATGAAATCTAGAGAAAAATACTAATGTTGTAAAAACAAAGAACATGTAGAAATTGCACGGGGGTGGTCCCATAGTGCAGTCAGAGTATATCAGTGTTATCAGTGCTGCAGCCTAGTCTGATAACATCCTTAGTACAAGGAATCTGAGTAGACTAGTTCTCACCCACTTGAAGAAAAGTGTTGCTTATCAAGGTAAATCCACATTTTAGTATTTCCTCTTTCTTTAGAGGTGAACCTTCAAGATTTTTCACAATAGCATACTCAACTTGTCTATACTCCTTAAAATAAATTAGATAAAAGTTGATTTATAGAATTAAATGACAAAGGTTATTGAAACTTACAGTTGCCTGTAAAGTTGTTCCAGTACTCTTAGTGGAGTAAAACATACTAACCTTTGTATAGGTCAGATGCTTAACCCTAATTACATTTTTGCAGCATGAAACACATTTGTTTAATAACCTGTCCTAAGTAAAGATTTATGTTATTCAAACGTATGTTGATTTCATAAACCCAGAGGCTGTAGGCTAGTTCAAGTGATGTTCGAGAGAAATTAACTTAACACTTTATGAATCTTTAGGTTAATGAATGCAATGGCTGGAAGAATAAGCAGTGCATTGTTTTTCAGGCAAGGAAAGCTGTTTTGAGCGTATAGTGTCCAGATTTGGCACTAACATAACTTATGTTGTGATTGGAGATGGCCGAGATGAGGAGCATGCCGCTAACCAGGTAACTTCGCTCTGAACTTTATCTCATTTATCTTCCAGGAAAAGAAAGTTGCTTTGAACGAATAATGCAAAGGTTTGGCAGAAAAGTAGTGTATGTTGTAATTGGGGATGGTGTAGAAGAAGAACAGGCAGCAAAAAAGGTAACCTGTCTCCAACAATGTCGGTGTGATACTTCTAATGCAAGCCTTTTTGTTTGCATTCCTGTAGTTTGGCCCAATGGCAGCTTGACAAATGACTTAAATTTATAGATGCAAAGCAATAAGAGCATGAGAGGGTCAATACTTACATTCAAATAAACCATTTGGAGTCTAGCATTTTTTTGCCTGAAATTTGATAGGAGATGCGGGAAAATTTAGTTACATTTATTTATTTGTGTGTGTGAATAAAGTAAATTTGACAAAAATATATATATTTATGTGTACATAAATACACATATGCATATGTATGCACATAATGCATGCCGATACAGATGACCCAGTGGTCTGTAAGAAAGAGGAGGGGAAATAACCACTGTTAAGCCCATGAAGTTTAATAAAATAAAGAAGTTTAATGAGCCCCATAGAATAATTGTGTGAGTGGCTCATGAATCGCCTGTGAGCACCTAGAAGTAGGTATACTCCGTGGTGATAAAGCCAGAGGTGGATTTAATAGCCGAGGAAAAGCCTCTGTAAGTGCTTTTAATAAGCACTATTGGAATGATTTGTATTATTCAGATCCTTTTGTGCCAACTTGTCTTAAAGGCAGTGTGCCTCACATGTTCTAGAAGAGTTTCATCTGTTCTGGTGAGCCACTGGTACCTGCTCGAAGCCAAGCATCTGGCTTTGAACGTATTCCGAAAACCTCAGAGGCTTATCTAAGTATTTACCTAAGGCTTTTCATCTGGCCCATCTTTCTGAAGAAGAAACCAAGGCAGTTAAAAAACATTAAATGGCTGGTTCAACATCAGAAGAAGAATGGTATCAGGATTGGCCCCTGACACCAGACTGCCAACCAACACAACACTGAGATCTGCTTCCCTCACTGAGTGACAGCAAAATATCACCTAACCAAGATAAAAGTGATAGAATTTATAAAACAAAGCAAAACGATGAATCGGTATTTTTAAACAATAACACATCAGCTTATATTGTTTTACATAGAAAGAATGTTATCCTTATTATTCAGAAGAAATTTTAAATCATCATCTAATAAGCCCTTCACTAAACTTGTGCTGGAGTGCTTTCCTGATTTCTGTTTTCCAAAACAAATCAACATAAACACTTTTATAGAAAAGTTTATGGCAATAATAGAAAGAGAAAGGAAATGATTTATGTTTCTAGTCAATTTAAATCAGGCAAAATGGAGAAAAAGAAAGCGCATCCGTTTTAGTAGGGTTGGTGACAGTGTTGGCAGCCATATTTGAAATTCTCCATGCTTCTCCATCCCATTAAGAGAGCGGGTGCTGGCTCTGCCTCCCACAGAGCACTTCGGTCGTCATTAGCAGTGTCAGTGACCCAAGACAGCACACAGGCCCCAAAGACATTCTGTATGAGGTCAGGGCTGCAGCCTCAAGGAATACAACTTTCATTGCCGACTACTGCTTGAAATCTTTCCTGTCACACGCAATTGTAATATCTTCTGGAGTTTGTCAATGTCCTGAGTCTATGTTGTTTTGATTTTTCATATTGGCACTATAATTACACACAACAAATAGCAGTCAATGATGTGGCCGCTCCAGAGAACGTTTACACGTCTTATAGCCTGTGTCAAATTCACATATATCTAGGTAAGGAGTTATATAATTCACTTTTCCAAACCAATAACAATACATGCCTTTGACAATTAAAACTTACCAAGTCTACCCCCAGTTACCCATGGTGTGAAAGCTAGATTAGGTATACTAGTTGTCATACCTTCTACTTTACACCCAAAACTTCAAGAGAAAAAGGCGTGACTCCAAATAGATAAGAATCTCAGATAGAATGCTATTTCCAAATGGTTGTTTATGTAGGTACAGTTTTGGTGATGGTGAAGGCTTATAATTCTATTTTGAAACACAGGTGGTTGGTTTCTCTAGTACCAGAATGCATGCTTTTCTTTGGATGTAGCAGTAATCGCATGTGCAGAAATATTAAGTACTGTTTTGTTATTACAAATAGATCTGAGCTGAATGAAAAAAAATGTTACTTGTAGGTGAATTTCTGTCCTTTAATTTGCCCTAAACATATTTTGTTGGAGAAATTTAAGAAGAAATCTTAAAGTTTAAAAATATATACATATAACTGCACTCTCCTATAGAAATATATAATATGAGCTGCATATGTAATTTAAAATTTTCTAGAAGTCACATTTTTAAAAAGTAAAAAGAAACAGGTAGAACTATTTAATGTTAATAGTATATTTTAATTAACCCAATATATCTAAAACATTATTGTCTCAACACCTAATCAATATAAAAATTATTGATGTAATGTTTACATTTTTCTTGTTCTAAGTCTTTGAAATTCTGTCTGTGTTTTAAACTGGACTAACCACATTTCAAGGGCTAAATAGCCACATGTGCTTGGCTAGAGGCTACCATATTAGGTAGCAAAGAATTACATAGCAATCATGATTATTATGATTATGCTTAATTTTTTAAATAAAAATTTTCCATGTTTTATATGTATGTATTTACATTACATACATGAATATATATTTCATACATATGTATTCTAAAAGATGTCATCAGCCCAAACTTAAAAATAATGCTTTTGCTTTGCCAATTACTATAGCACGGTGTTTTCTTTTTCTCATTATCATCCCCATTGGGATCTTTTAGACATTTTTTTCCTAATCACCCCACCTTTCATGAAATTTTAATGCCACAGATATACTATATACTGGTATATCTTTAGAGGGCCACAAACCATTGCAGTGGCTAAGATTTTCTGCTCTTACAAGAACCTACTTTTGTCCCCTTGGGAATAATATCTCCCCCATTGGAAATGTATGCTAGAGTACTTTCTCTCAACCCCATGCCAGTGAAATAAATCAGATCAACTCTACTGGCTTTATCCTAAACAAGTAAGAAAGTTATCATTCCCACATTTATTTCTACTATCTACAGTCCAGCTTCAAATTATTTTTCACATAGAAAGGAATCCACCCTGTTTTCCTCTTAAATAAAAAGCCTTAGGCTTAAGAAGTTTATTATTTTATTTTAGTTTAGTTTAGTTTAGTTTTAACTAAGAGATGGACATTTAAGAGTGAGGCATTGATTAAAATTTGTTTTTGGCCGGGTGCGGTGGCTCATGCCTATAATTCTAGCATTCTGGGAGGCTAAGGCAGGAGGATAGCTTGAGATCAGCCAGAGCAAGAGAAAGACCCCATCTCTACAAAAAATAGAAAAATTAGCCAGGTGTGGTGGCCTGTGCCTGTAGTCCCAGGTACATGGGAGGCTGAGGCGGGGGATCACTTGAGACCAAGAGTTTGAGGTTGCAATGAGCTATGATGATGCCACTGCATTCTAGCTAGGACAACAGAGCAAGACAGAGCAAAACAAACAGCATGTTTTTCATCAGCCAGGGAGGATTTTGATGCCCACTTGCTTTGCCAGATGGTGATGTTGGTAATGATACTTTCTAGAATAAATAGTAAACCACCTGAGAAATCTCAATATTTGTCTTTATTATCATTGACCTCCAGTTCAGATCTATTTATTATTTTGACAATGCCATATTGGTGCTGCCAAGCCTTCCGATATGATCATCCCTCCTTTAAATTCCCTCCCTTGAACTTGGGTGGACTGCACATCCTTGTGTGCACTGCTGCTTTGCTGAGACGATGTTTATGATCTCTCTCCATTCCTCATTCCTTCCCCTTCTCTCTCCCACCCCTCCTTCTCTTAACCACACAGCACAACATGCCCTTTTGGAGGATATCAAGTCACTCAGACCTCTTGGCTCTACATCAAGCACTGGAATTAGAGTATTTGTAACTGTGTTCTCTAGCTGGAGATCCATTTTTTATATTTCAAGTACACTGAATTTTTATGTGTGATTCAATGCCTCTGGCTCTACACATATAAATTGTCTTAAAGGATGAAATCGTATTTGGAATGAAAATTCCAGAATGAAGAATTCAGATTGCTGAATGGAATTAAACTTTAGTGCTACAGAAAGGAAACTCTATGGTCTTATATTTACAACACTTTAATGGTTTAAAAAAAAAAATCTGTGGAGGTTGCTGGTACACACCGAATGAGTCCTAACTGGAATTAACAGCTTTAGCAAAGAACTCTTACCCTGGCAAAGCAGCAACACACATGCTCTGTCTGACAAGGTCAACGACATTCCTCACAATGGGAGATCTTCTCAGCCCTGAGGTTTGAATCTGACTTTAGCCTACCTAGCCCAGAAAATCTGAATTGGAATGCACTCAGACTGTAGAAGGACAGTCCTATCTAGACCTGTAATTTGTGTAAATTATTCATGAAAATAATTTACTGTGACTTTATTAGCAGCTGACTTTGAAAGTGGATGCAATTTTTCTTTCATTTGTCGGGGAGGGGAGAGGGAGGGGAAATGGGAATATAATATTGTCTCTTTTTTAAGTTTGGCAAACAGAATGTTCATACTGATGTGTTGTGCCTTAAAGACAAGACAGCGTTTGTGTGTTACAATGTAACTTTGGTTAAAATCTCTGTAGATAATGAAAAGCAAAAACCTTTGTGATAATTCTTAACATGACCAAATTTCAAATTCAAGCTATCAAAGCTAAATACTGCATCAGCAACAAACTGAGTATTTGTTGCAATAAGAAAACAATGATAATGAAGGAAAGCTTGTGTTTCATTTGGGTTCTTAATAATTCCAATAATTGTATGAGGCAACTATTTGTGCATCCAACCATAAGCAGAAGGTTTGGGAAAGACTGCGGGACCTTTACTTAGAAAGCAAAACGTATGTAGAAGTCTCAAGTACCCCTCCTTTTTACTGGAGAAAACTAAGAGCCATATTCATGATGACTTGCCCAGTTGTGATTTTGAGACTTTTTGATATGTGTAAGTTTTATAGAGGGAGATACTGTCATGCAAATCATCAGCAATTATCACCCAAACTTTTTGAGAATATGCCATGGGCGTGGCTTAAAATCCACATTGCCTGAACATGGCTTAAAATAAAGTTAGGTGTATTTTATTCCCAATGCCATCGTGAAATGATATGTCATCAATAATGGAAGGCGGATGTCTCAGATGGCTTCTAATGGAAGAAGCAAGTCTATGAAAATTTTACCTAAAATATCATCATAAAGTAAATTAGCAAGTGAGCTGGATCTTGGCAGCGTTACTGAAATCACAGCAGTAAAATAGTACCTGGTTCTCTGTCTTAACACATCAGCGCAGGTTCTCTTTGTCACAGACTTGCAGACGTTAGTTTCTGCCTGTACTGTTACTGCACAATGGACAGCATTCACTGCAAGGAGAACCTGTCATCATTGTGTTTACAGGGTTTTTTTTTTTTTCCTTCATGTGTAGCCCATGCTGGGAACACTGTACAGGTTCTCCTGTCATTTCCTACGACAAGATTTCCCTTGTGGAAATCTAAGACTTCGAGATCTAGAGTATTTTAATGGTGTCTGCACCCGCAGTTCAGTGTTTAACATGTCATAATGTGGATCCTGGAATCCACTCATCGGTGCCCCTAACCAGAGGCTGGTTCATGACAGTTCATCAGCTGAGGCTTCTGTGGCTTCTATAGGTTGGACTTTGCTCACGGATCATAACATTATGGAAATATGATTTTATTTCGTCAGGCCATGAATTGAATCTGTATTTCTTTACTGAATGCTAAAAGGCCATATTTATGTTGGGCAGAAAGGTAGTGAGATCCTGATTTTTGCATAAGATTGTGATTTAATCACATAAACCTTAAACATACTCTAAATTTTGTAGCTTTTGGTTACTTCTGCCCCATGTACTGTTCCAGACAAATTAAGGTTGGAATACTTTTAACAATAATAATAATAATAATAATAATAAATCTTACACTTCTGTTGGCCTTTAGCTTGAAAATAGCAGTTAAAAAATTTTAAGTATTGCATTGATTATCAGTACTTAATTACTTTGTGCACTAAAACCTTAATTATTTATTACTGTGAAAAAAACCAAAATTATCTTTACTGTATAGCTGGTTTCTTTAAATGATAGAATTGTGGAATTACATCTAAATTTTTAAATTCTTTTTTATATCAAACAAGCAAGGCTTTTTATGCTGCTAAACTTGCAGGTGCAAAAAGAAACAACCTTGAAGGGCAAAGAGAAGCTGGCTGATTGCATTGCCTGGGGCTGTTTCTCACACACACCTTTTCCCCTGATTCTGTGTTCAGAAGAGGCTGCCAGCACAAAACCTAGAAGGAGAACAGCTTGTCTGGCACAACGATGGTGCAGGCCAACAAGCCAGCATCACAGCTAGGGCGTGTGACTTTGAGCATGCTTAAACTAGAACTCTTCCCTTTCCCACCTTAGGAAGACAGATTCCTCTTCCTTTCTGATCTGAAAAACAAAAAACAAACCAACAAACAAAAAGCCAGCTCTTTTGGCAATTCCCACATTCTATTTACATATCGAATATTGTGCCTTACTGTAAACTGGTTTGAAAAATGTTCGGTAACTGAAATGGGTTTTCAGCTACTACGCTTGCAAACTTGGTATATCACTAGGAAAGATGACCACCTTGTGTTGCACCTTAAAAATATCAAGACCATGCAATTTCAGTAACAAAATAGGTGGCCTGGCTGCAATATTATAGCATATAATTAAGACACTATATCCCTGCAAAAATTTGTAAATCAAATTCAGAGGCAAAAAAAAAAATATTTTAGAGTCATGCAGTTTGTGCACCAAAGTAGGTAATAAATGTCTCTAAAAATGTTTTTTCCTTAGTCGTTGGTGAGCGCAGATTCAATATAGTGTCAACAGCATGCTCCAGTATGAAGTTGTTTTGTTTTTTTTAAGCACATTTGTTTATGACAGGCCTACATTCTCAGTGAATATGGCGTTTAGTATTTCTTTTAAAAAAAACTTAAGCATCATGAGCCAAAGTTGCATTTTGACTCCCAATTATGATATCATTATGGAAATCTCACAAAGTCAAGGGTTTGTGTTATGTATTAGTAAAATATAGATTATTGGGGCCTACATAATTTAAAGAAATGTAAATTAATATTAAAAGCTTGTAAAAATATGTACATCTTTACTATTTCTCAATAAATACCTTTGCAAATGTTTTCATTTTCTTCACCTTCCCATGTTGCAGAGTTTTTTGTGTGTGCATTGAGCTTGATTCTAAATCGTGTGAAATTTGTATTGAGGTTTCTTGGTGTATTCTTACATTCCCTTTTTTGTTCCTAAGTTGTGTAATTTGCAGTTAAGGCAAGTAGGGGGTAACACAGTGAAGTGTCACTAATTAAGACTAAAAGTGGGCTGGTTTACTGAAAAAATGTGATTGCATAGTTTTTTACATATAGGTAGCTCCATTTAAGTATAATGCGTAATGTAGCCACAAATCATTAATGATAAAGTAATGCCTATTAGAATATTAAAACCAAGTGTCCATTAGATGCATATGGGACATAGTTTATAAGTATCTTCCAAGAGGATAAAAAAAGTAGTTTTCTATAACAGATTCAATGGCTCCTTTATTACCTTATATATAGCATTGATTTACTGCAAATCTGCTGTTCACATATAAACCAAAGGCAAATTTCAGATCAACCTCTGCTTATTCACAACTTTTAAAAATGTTAGCCTCCAAATTAATGAGATATAAGTGGAATTTTGTGGGAACATCTGATAACCTTCATGCCATACAAAAATCAATTATGGCCTACAGGAATACAATGACTATATTTAAAATAAATTGAATAGGTAAACTTCCTTTCTATTCTCTTATAGCCAATTACCGTTGAAATTTGAATTTGTGGTAAGACTAAATTACATGTATCATATCCCAATCCTCCCCTGAACGCCAAACAAGTGGGTCCTATTTGCCTATTTAATGTACCAGCTTGGAGGAAAGCACCTCTCAAACCAACATGTCCAAATCTGAACTTGTGTTTCTACCCCAGCCACGTCTCACCTGTCCTACAAGTCCCACCTGGGGCGGAACTGTCATCAGGTCTCAACTGGGTTACTACATCGGCTTCTGGCTTAGTCTCGCTGCTCTGGCCCTCACACCCCTTCAACCAGGATAACACTGCCAATCAGAGCGTGTCCCTCCTCTCCTCGAAAACCTCCAGCATCTGGCATCCTAGATCACTGGGCACAGACATCAGCACCTTAGCAATGACTTGTCTGCCTACCTGCACCGTCCCTGTCGAGCTCTCCATCTTCATGCTGTTCTGCCCTCCTCTGGCTCACTGCACCCAGCCAAACTGGCACCTCCATGTCCGTCACGTGCCCGCACCCCACCTGCCTCGGGGCCAATGCACTCACTGTTACTTCCACTTGGAAGGGGTTTTGCTCAGATATCTGTGTCACTTACGTCCTGGGTTTCTTCAGGTCTTTACTCAAAGGTGCTCTTCTCTAAAATTGCACATGCCTGCCCAACCCTTCTGTCATTCCCTGCTGACTGGTGAAGAATACTTAATCCTTAGATTTAGCCAACATGATACACACATTTAATTTATCTTTGTATTGTATGACACCCATTACAATATATGCTCTGTGAAGGCAGGGATTTTTGTTTTGTTTTATTCATTTGGATGGAATCAGTATCTAGAAAAGTGGCATATAGTAGGTACTCAGAAAGCATTTGTTAATGAATACCTACCCTAAATTATAGGAAAATACATGTTTGATCATGGTCTAGAATTAAAGTGATTTAAAATGGTACAGCTAGATTTTAAGGGCAAAAAAAGGAAGAAAACATGCAGGTAAGTTTGATTGGGACTTATATAGATAGTATTTACAACTTAGCTGGAGTGTTTGCTCGCCTTATATTAATAATTTATGAAAATAAGGGACAAAGATTTAAGTGAAAAAAGGTTATACATGACTTGACAATGATCTGCTGGATAAAAACGAGTTTACAATGAATCAGTACTTGCCTCCTTTATACCGCTTTTTTCCCTTTTATATATATAAAAAGTATGAAACATCAGTAGGTTTTTTTTTATTTTAGCATATTATGGGGGTACAAGTGTTAAGGTTATGTATATTACCCATGCCTCCCTCCCCCCTCAAATCAGAGCTTAATTGACTTGAATTACATAAAGCCACACAAAAAAATCACATAAAAATCAGAGCTCTCTGCAAACCCTGTGGTTCATGATTCTCAGTCTCTGACACAAAAAAAGAGAAGAATAATTTCCTTTAGTTGGCAAAAAATAACTAATATTTAACATCTGTGCATTATTTTGTGTTTTCAAAAATGTTATTGGATATAATGGTATCAAAGTACGTATGTTTTTATACACAGGTCACTTGTCAAAGGAATCTCAAATTTGACCAGGCCAAAGTCAATTCTTGAGGTGTACTATACTGAACAAAGATGCTTTCTCAGAACATCAAGAGGGAAATGTTCACTGAGCCCAAAAGTCCTGAATTTAAATGGAAGTGGTAGCTATTATAATTAAATACTTAGTTTTTCCCCTCGTCCAGAGAACCTTCCAGGACTGTGTTAGTACACAATTTTAAAAAATGCCCAAACATAACAT